CGGAAAATGGCCGCGGACCACGTGGCCGGGCGGAAAATGGCCGCGGACCACGTGTCACGGGAGGGAAAATGGCCGCATATCCTGTCCATACCCCGAGGCGGAGTTCGCACATCGAGGCAATTTTTTGTGGCCGGAGCTGATCGTAACCCAAAAAGTTCATTAACAGAAGCATTCGTAACCCGAGGTACCACTGTATTTCTGTGGATGGTTGGGTGATTTGTTATTTAATGTTGTTATGTTCCAGGGGGCCATGGCTGCCACATATTCTGCACTGAATAACAAGACATTTCAGCCTGTTTTGGAACCTGTTGCAGCTTCAAGCTTAGCTCAGCGGAGAAGCATGAAAAAACTAACCTCCACAGACTTATAGGTCAGCTGGGGTGTTTAGCCCATGTGGAACAGAGAAGAAGTCCAAGAAGCAGATCTGTATTTGCCTGCCCTGTGAATTAATAGGCATATACAAGTTCCTCCTACACTACTTGAATTCAGTTGAAGAAAGGAAAACAAAAAGCAAAAAAACCTCTAGCAGTTTAGAGGGTTTATTGCTGTTCGTAGGTTGATGTCAGTAGCATCAGGGTACTTCGCAACAATCATGAGGAATTTCGGTACACATTCACTTCAGAGATGTATTGCATTATGTTAATACTTTTAAATACTGTATAGTTTTCACCCGGTTTATAAAGATATGTATTAGGGGACCATAGACACTGCTCAAGTTGTAAATTTAAATTCAGAAGAAAAAGTCAGTGTTTTCATATTTTTGCTATCTTGGCCCTATTGTAAAGAAAAAAGAAAAAGAAAAGAAAAAAAACCATTAAACATGATGTGCTCTGGTTTTGTAAATTGGTCACCTTACCAATGGACTCCATTCATTTAATTCATTGGTACAACAAGCCGAGGACCATTGAAATGGATATCCCAGTGCGAAATGCATGATGGAAGCCCTAATTTTCTGTTGGTGTCAGACAATTATATAAAAAAATAATGTACAGATAGAATAATCCATGAACATACACTGAGACGATAGTGTGTACGCCTTCATTAGAACTGTAGATTTGATCAACCTAGCCGTGTCTTTCTTAAGGCTTTTGAAGAGTGGTGGTTGTTAGGATAATAAATAATCTGTTGTACTTTAACATTATGTATGACATCAACATCATTGGAGCTTTTCAAGAAGGGGTAAGTAGGTCTCTACTTGATATACATTAGATACAGCATAAGGTATATAGAACTTACCCTGTATCTAAAGGCTACGAATTGATCTCAACTCCTCGAGTATTGTGATCTCATGTCCTAAGGCTCAGATTTGTTTCATCATCTGTGAATATTTGTGTAACACAGTCTGTGCTCATTTCATTTAACCATAGGAGGACTGACACTGTATTTGCACTGACATTCTGGATGCAAGCCTGCCATAGAGAGACCCTAACACTTCATTGGTATTAAGACAAGACAAATTAAGCTACCTTAGAAATGCACTGTGCTCTCAATTGTTCTTCCGTTTATGATTTTTGGTTGTCATTGTGGCTGAATTTTCTCATCCTGGGATAGCATTTTATTCATTCTAAGTTGTAAGATAGTGATGTTTTTAATCACATACCATATTTCACAACAGACTTTATTTATTCACACATTGAAAAGTTCTCTGATGTCATTTTTTCTGACATTTTATAAAGATTTTTGAAGATAAATGCTTATATTAATGTCTTCTTTTCTTTCCCTTATACTATCAACTTTGCTATCTGCTGGAAAGGTGCAAGCTTTGAAACATTTCTTGGTCTTTTCTGATCCAAGCTTTAGGATGTCTCAGTAGGGAGAAACATCTGCTCTCAGTCTAGCTTTGTGGACACTAATAGCCCATAAATTCAATGGAAAGGAGAAAGCCAATGATGATTAGAATGATGACTGGGAAAAATTAGGAAGTTGGTCAAGTTAGCCCATATTGGATATGGATTAGTTTGAAACTGGCCTGTTTTCTTAGAAAATACAAGATTCCCTCCTCCCCCCATCCCAAAAAAGAAAGCTGTTCCAATATGGATTCCTGAGTTATTTTGTTGTAAAATTAGATTAATGCAGTTGATCAAAATCCTAAGAATAATAGGATCAGCTTTTTTGATTGCAAGTTCCTTGAATAACCATTAATGAATTAGAGAGCTTGTTGCAAGAGATCTTTTTTCATAGGGTTCTGAATATTATGCTGAATAATATTTTATTCTTTTATTGATGGCTTCATTTGGGATTAAATAAAACTGCTGAGGCTGAAGTCTGAAAATAGAATGTATTTTTTAAATTCATTAAATGTTCTCAAATATGCCAGACATAAAATATATGAGGAAAAAGACTACCTTTTCCACCCATTTCAGTAGCAACAATAAACATATAGATTTATTTGGCTTAAACTCACCCTTCCTTTAAGGAGCTCAATATATTATCTAAGTTATATGTTTCTTTTTATGCATATAGGAAATCGGACTTATCTCAAGTCAGAATAAATGCACTTTTAGACCAATATCGTCCACTCTGACTGGCAGGAAATCAACAAATCTCAGTTTTTTTTTTCAACAACTAACCTTCAGAACCTTTTAACTGATTGGAACCTAACCCTAAGATAGGATAACTAAGACGCGGTTGGTCTTACGTCATCAAGAAGAAAGTGCTGCTTTGGTGGGATATAAACTCAGCACACAAATCGTTTGACATTCCAGTCATCCTGAATGAGCACTGAACCTTCAAAGTTTTACCAATTAATTAAGTTTGAGGGAGATTGTTAAATAATTGAAGAATCCTGTACTGGAAGAACAGGGTAGTAAATAGTTTTCTTAGTCAACAGAAAATTGCTTGGTCATATATAGTACTGTGCCTTAACCATAAAAAATAACTGACTTCACGGATTGGTGATTTCAGCGTAAACAGTTGTAGAGAGTTGAGTATATGGTGGGTTTTTAAATCATTTTTCTGGTGTCATGCTTATAATTGTTTTAGGCCATTTAAATAGGAATAATAATAGCGTCTGCAGGTAGCAGTCAAAATGGGCAAGAAAGCAGACACAATGTCATGAGACCCTTTTGTCTGTGCATACAAAGAAGGGTGGGTTTGAATCATGACACCTCATCTGCCATCCTGCCCATTTTGGCCCATTCCCTCCCCTCCAGCAGATGCCCCTAAGCATCACGCTCTTAAAGAGCAAAATAAGGATCACATCAGTGTTCACAAACTGGAAAAATATATCCCTTGAGTAGTTTTCAGGCAGCTCATGTCATTCCTTATCGGGATGGGGGGAAAGATGGTAGTAGAATAGAGCAATATAAAATGTTTTCCATGTGAGGAAAGACAGGTATTAACCCATGAATTTTCACCCTGATCCATGCATGCTTTTGCCATAATGCGTGTGATAGTCTTCGAGGTGACATCAGGTTCATTATTTATATCTTTCTTTGCTGCAACAAGTACATTTATTCCTTTGGGGTGCCATGGGCAGGGAGGAGGTAAAGCTTTCTCCTGCACCTCTTTAGTTGTAGTCAGAACAGAATTGCCAATTAAGACTGATGATCAGACATCCTTCGCAATATAGTGCATTGCTGTGAGTCATCATTCCCAACGTGCAGTTTTCCAGAGTGATGGGCTTTAAGTCCCACGGTTTCATTGCTCATTCTGTTAAGGGGTTATAGAAATTGTACTTCCAACATGCTTGGAGGGCACAGGGTTAAGGAAGCATGCTCTATTGTCTCACTGGCTTATAGTAGGAGAAGAAATGCTGAGGTGGGAGATCGTGTTTTATTGAATTTCGCTAGGTATCCGGATTTCCCTGATTAGAGAACAGGATTGAGGGCTGAAGGACAGTAGTGTAAGGGCTGAACCTGGTGAGGTGGCAACCAGTGGTTCTCAGGTTAGAGAGAACCATTCTATCACATAGATCAGGTGCCTCTCAAGGCCATCAAGAGAATGGTGATGTATCTATTCACTGGCAAAGGCAGGAGAAAAATGCTTGAGTTTAAACCTCAGAGCATAGACCTTTATAAAGGCTTTGACTTATGTGTACTACTGTAGGCAAATCATCTCTCTGTATACGGCTCTATTCATATCTGCAATAAAGAGACCAAACTTGCCATGCCATGTCTGTGAGCCTTCTGCTGAATAAGCCTCTTCCTGAATATGGGGTTGACTATCTGGAGAGGCAAGATTTGCTGCCAAGCTCCGGTGTGAAGTCTAATAACTACTCTCCTTTGAGTAAAACTCTTAATGTCAGGTGCCTTCTTCAGACTCTTGACAGGTACCCATATACAACATGCATTCATAACCCTATAGAGACAAACTTGAATGATCCCCAGTACTCCTGGTTTCCATACTCTGTATTGTTAAAGTTGATTAGGATCCATTTGCGAGCCTTGAGCATGCTCTTGGCTTCACCGTGGCACCCTGGCAACCGCAGGAACATATCGACCTTGAGGTGTGCCTACTTGTCATATTTTCCTCCAACCGCTACAGAAGACAATGGGGACAGGGGTGAGCCACTGCAATTGGCTACAATTAGAGGTAAATCAGAGGACTTGGCTTGTGTATTTTTGTGGCTCCTTTATGTATAGCTGCGGGGGATTCGATTTTTTTCTCTCTTAAGCAGCCCAATGCATTCCAGATAGCTTAGTCTAAAAGTCCGCTAGCCTAGCTGATGGCCAGCATTGATGGAAGTTGTATTCCAATGTCTGGTAAATACCAGGTTGGGGAAAATTGCTCTAGGATTATGCATTTTTATTCCTAGTCGTATTCTGGTTATTAAAAGCATTTCTTCTCTGGAAATATTTCTGGAGAATGCTTCAAATGGAATTTGCACTCAGTGCACAATTGGAGATTATGGTGTTCAGTGGAAAAAGAATGGCAATGCCACACCATAGCTTAGTATTTACATTTAATATTGTATCTTACTAGAAAGCAAGGAATTTTCACCTTAGGTGTGGCTTGAAATGCAATCATCTGAAAAAATATTAACTGGGTGACAGATAAGCCATGATGGACTAGCCCTTGGCAAGTGTTACGCAATGCTTGATGGGTTGGAGATTGCAAATCATGGCCTTCAGGAAGCTGGGATGAACTCATGGGAAAGTTGTTTTCATTATGATGATTTCAAGGGTGGGAATATGTTCAGGAAGGTTCTATAAAATAAATCTTCACTTTAACTCTCCCAGTACAAAAAACCCACCCTAAACAGGGTGGCCAATTTTCTGCACTAAAGTGGCCCAATTTTGACTGCACAGTTGAGTTATCTTTGCATTGTGGGGGCTGAAAATGGCATTGCCTCCCTATTGCTTCTATTCCTACCTTTAATTCTGCAAACTATCTAGAGGGGCTGGGGGGAGAAGGCACATATGATAGGCCCACCCCTAAACTAAACCCAAATCCTATCTTCTCCAGCATTCTGGACTGACAAAGCCTAAACGGAAGCCTAAGAGAAGGCTTAGATTTGCACTAAGATTTCCTTAAAGCAGTGTTTCTTAACCTTAGCAACTTTAAGATACGTGGACTTCAACTTCCAGAATTGCTTGCTGGCTGGGGAATTCTGGGAGTTGAAGTCCACACATCATAAAGTGGACACAGTTGAGAAACACTGCCTTCAGCAAATGACTAGGAAATTTAGCTCTAAAATCTAGCAGGTTTGCAGCCCTTTCTAGCCCAAGACCTCTTTGAATTCCTAAACAACCTTGAAGAATAAAGTTCCTAAGAGTAAATGATGGGCATACCAATGTTTTCAAATATATTCAGGTGGAAAAATCTGTCATATATGTTGACTAGGGGAACAGTGTCATGAGCAAACCTCATATTTTGGGTATTTTATGAGCACGTTTGAGGCTTAGTGACATTTCTTAAGGGTGAATTTCAATAATAATAACCTCCTAGCTAGTCAATGATAATTAGTCAATTATAAGCTGCTGGAGACAATATCCAATAGCTCTATGCCAGTGTTGTCCAAACTTGGCCACTTTAAGATGAGTGGACTTCAACTCCCAG